CCGACTTCGCTCCGCCTTGCGCACACACCCTTGGGGGACCGACCACAAAAGTGTGCGCCAAGCGGACGCCTACTTTTTGAATCCAGGGCAACTGGTGTCGTTCCGCTTTGCGCGCACACCCTTGGGCGACCGAGCGATCAAGCGTGCGCCAAGAAGATGCCGACCCCCTTTTCAGTACTTTTCGCTCAGTGTGCGCCAAGCGGATACCGACCCTTCTCAGTCCAGAGCAGTAAGTCGTTTCCCTCAGCATTGCGCGCACAGCCTGGTCCCTCATGCTCCGCTACCTCCTCCTCCTCCTCATCGTCTCTCTTCCTTCCCCTTTGCCTCATAATTTCTTCCTTCCTGCCTCCTTCCCCCTCACTGAAGGGCGGACTGTGACAATAGGCGAGGCAAAGCAGAAACGATTCAGTCTCACACTGCGCGATTATTTACGCAAGGCCCTAAGCTTGTATCACGATCGAATGCCCAGGCGCACGGTGATCAACTAGAACTTGAGCGCGCGCAAAGCGCGCGATACATACTATCGCGAGCGCCAGCCCAGGGAGCCCTGTGGCCTCCCCGTCCAAACCTGGGGCGCCCAGAGTACATTCAGGGCACCCTCCCCGCCAGGGCTCCTCCAGGAGGCTCCGAGGGCTCCCACGATGGCCGGACTGCGAATGCGCTCTCCTCAAAATTTGGCGCGCGCGGAGCACGGGTGGTTATTGTGTGTGTGTGTGTTTGTGTGTGTTGTGTGTTGTGTGCTGTGCGTTGTGTGTTGTGTGTTGTTGTGCGTTGTGCGTTGTGTGTCGTGTGTTGTGTGTTGTGTGTTGTCTGTTGTCTGTTGTCTGTTGTCTGTTGCCTGTTGTTTGCTGTCTGGTGTCGATGGTCTGTTGTCTGGTGTGTGGTGTGTGGTCTGTGCTGTGTGTTGTGTGTTGTGTATTTGAATGTTGTGTATTGTGTGTTCTGTGTTCTGTGCTCTGTGCCCTGTGTTGTGTGTGCGTGGGTGCGGGTGCGTGTGTGAATGTGTGCGTGCGTGTGTGTGTGTGTGCGTGATTATGTGTGTGCGTGCGCGTGTGTATACATGTGTGTCTTTGTGTGTGCGTGGGTGTGTGTGTGTGTGTGCGTGCGTGCGTGCGTGGGTGCGGGTGCGTGTGTGTGTGTGGGTGTGTGGGTGTGTGGGTGTGTGGGTGTGTGTGTGTGTGGTGTGTGTGCGTGTGCGTGCGTGCGTGCGTGTATGTGTGCGTGTGTGCGTGATTATGTGTGTGCGTGCGTGTGTGTGTAATTACATGTGTGTCTTTGTGTGTGCGCGCGTGCGTGCGTGTGTGTATCTGTGTTTGTTTGTGTGTGTTTGTGTGTGTTTGTGTGTGTTTGTGTGTATGTGTTTATGTGAGTGTGGGTGTGTGCGGTTGTGTGTGCGTTTGTGTAGTTGCGTGCATTTGTGTGTGTATTTGTGTGTGTGTGCTTGTGTGTGGTTGTGTGTGGTTGTGTGTGGTTGTGTGTGTGTGCCTTTGTGTGCGTGTTTGTGTGTGTTTGTGTGTTGTGTGTGTTTTCTGTGTGTGCTTGTGTGTTTGTGTGTGTGCTTGTGTGTTCGTGTGTATGTGTGTGTGTGTGTTTGCGTATGTTTGTGTGCGTGTGTGCGTGTTTGCGTATGTGTTTGCGTGTGTTTGTGCGTGTTTGTGTGTGTGTGGTTGTGTGTGTTTGTGTGGTTGTGTGTTTGTGTGCTGTTTCCCCTATCAGAGCTTGCCTCTCCAGGGGTCCTAGCGGTTTCATATGGTTAGGTGGAATGCGGCGCCGATTTCGGCGGCACGCCCGGGTGTCTGGGTGCCCCGCTGCCCGGGTGCCCGGGTGCCCAGGTGCCCAGGTGTTTGGGTGCCCGGGTGCCCGGGTGCCCGCTAGCCCTATAGCCCTATAGCCCTATAACTTTATAGCCTTATAGCCCTTATAGCCCTATAGTCCTATAGCCCAATATCCCTAAAGCCCTATAGCCCTATAGCCCTATAGCCTTATAGCCTTATAGCCTTATCGCCCTATAGCCCTATAGCCCTATAGCCCTAAAGCCCTATAGCCCTAGAGCCCCATAGCCTTATAGCCCTATAGCCCTTTAGCCCCATAGCCCTATAACCCTGAAAATATTATGACTGGAGCGTGTCTCTGGTATCATGTGTGTTTGTGTGTGTTTGTGTGTGTGTTTGAGTGTGTTTGTGTGCTTGTGTGTATGTGTGTGTTTGTGTGTACGTGTTTGTGCGTTTTCGTGTTTGTGTGTGTGTTTGTGTTTGTGGTTGTGTGGTTGTGTGTGTGTGTTTGTGTGTTTGTATGTTTGTGTGTGTGTTTGTGTGGTGTGTGTTGGTGTGTTGGTGTGTGTGTTGTGTGTTGGTGTGTTTGTGTGTGCTTGTGTGTTTGTGTGTGATTGTGTGTGGTGTGTGTGGTGTGTGTGGTGTGTGTGTGTGTGTTGTGTTGTGTGTTGTGTGTTGTGTGTATGTGCGTGTGTGAGTGTGTGTGCGTGCGTGCGTGCGTGTGTGTGTGTGTCAGTGTGTGTATGTGTGTGTTGTGTGTGCATGTGTGTGTGTGTCTGTGTCTCTGTGTCTATGTCTCTGTGTCTCTGTGTCTCTGTGTCTCTGTGTTTGTGTGTGTCTCTGTGTCTCTGTGTCTCTGTGTGTATGTGTGTGGTTGTGTGTTTGTACTTGTGTATTTGCGTGCATTTGTGTGTGTAGGTGTTCGGGTGTGTGGGGGGGGGCGGGGGTGGGGGGGGGCGGAGGTGGGGGGGGGGGGGGATGGCTGTGGCTGTGGGTGTGGCTGTGGCTGTGGCTGTGGGTGCGGGTGCGGGTGTGGGTGTGAGTGTGTGTGGGTGTGTGTTTGGGTGTGGTTGTGGATGTGGGTGTGGGTGTGGGTGTGGGTGCGTGTGGGCGCGCGCGCGTGCGTGCGTGCTGCGTGCGTGCGTGCGTGCATGCGTGCGCGCATGCGTGCGGGTGCACGTGCGTGCGCGCGTGCTTGCGCGCGTGCGTGCGCGTGCGCGTGCGCGCGCGTGCACGAGCGCGTGCGCGTGCGCGTGTGCGTGTGCGTGTGCGTGTGCGTGTGTGTGCGTGTGTCTGCGTGTGCGCGTGCGTGCGCGTGTCTATGTGTGGTGTGTGTGTGCGTGTGTATATACAACATACATACATAAACAGAAGTTCCTAGACCCAGGGCCCTGGGCCGGCCCTTCCCTTGTATTTCGGTGCCCCTTCTCCCTGGGGACCTCCCCGGGTGACCCCGGAGGTCCCAGAAAGCAAGAGAATCTTCCAAGACCACCCAAAATAGCCTGCGACTGGCCCAGGAGGCCCCAAAAGGCCCCAGGAGGCTCCCAAAAGCCACCCAATAGGCCCCAGGGAAGCCCCAAAGAGGCCCACAAATTGTTTCCAATATGCCCATGAGGAGCCTCCACGATACCTCCAAGACGCCCCCCAAGAGGCCCCCCAAACTGCCTCTAAGATAATTCGGAAACGCTCACGTTTAAACAAAAGTATTGCAAAACACGTTTTGTTTCAATGATTTCACGGTCCAGGGGACGATCTCTGAATTGTCCCAGGCTTAGGTTTGGGCCTCAGTACGTTCCAAATTCTGAGGGGGAACCCCAAGCGAAGTTGCCCATGGTGCTATAGGTGGAGCTCCTTTTGGGGCCTGATTCGCGTGACGGGTGTGCGGACATGGGCGGGGGGGCGTTGTACATACCATGTCTCTGTGTGTTTAGGTGGTGCTCCTTCTGGGCACGATCCGCGTGATGGGATGTGTGTCGCAATGGCCAGAAGGGGAGGGCGAGCGCAGTGCGAACCCTGTCTATGGGGCCGTAGGTGGAGATCCCTGTGGGCCACGATCCGTGTGAGAGGTGTTCCGAAGTAGGCGGGGGGGCGGAATGCGAACCTTGTCTCTGGGGCCGTCCGTGGATTTTTGTTTGCGGGCCACGATCCGTGTGAGTGGTGTGCCGAAGTGAGCTGAGCGACGCTATGAAGCTTACCTCTGGTGCCACAAATGCAGTTGCTTGCGGGGCACGATCCACCTGAGGGGCGAGCCACTATGCGAACCTTGTCTCTGGGGACATAGGTGGAGCTCCCTGTGGGGCGCGATCCCTGTAAGGGGTGTACCGACATGGGCGGGGGGGAACGCTCAGTCAAGTTGGTTTTGGGGCCGTAGCCAGAGCTCCCTAGGAGCACGATCCGTGTGACAATAGATGTCCTCCGACACCAAACATTTTTAGATGACAACCAAAGCATGCTAGAACCTGAGCGCGCGCGAAGCGCGCGCGCGTGGTTCTACTGTGTGTATATATATATATATATATGTACACACACACACACCGGGACCCCCCCCCCCCCCCTTCCCCCAAACCGGTCCCCCCGAATCCGGGTCTTTGGGACCCTCTGGACCCCCGGATCCGTGGCCCCGGGGACCCTTTGGACGCTCTTGCAGAAGGCCCACCAAGCGTTTCAGAGCTCCTGCAAGCCCTTGCTGGCCCACATCGGTCAGGAGGGCGACCGAACGCCCCCCCGAGAGCCCCAAGAGGCCCCAGACACCTACCAGACGCCCGAAGGCGACCCAAAGAAGACCCCCAAGAAGCTTCCAAAATGAAGAAAAACATTGGTTTCCAAGATTGTTGCATGATTTGGGGAATGCCCTGTTCTTCGGTATTCTAGGCGTCCGAGACCGCCTGGGAGCATCGAAAGTCGCCCCAAAACCATCCAGAAGGGCTTCCAGGCAGTCCAAGAGAGCCTCAAGACGGCACAACAGGGTTCCAAGATGGCCTAAGAGAGCCCCATGACTGCCTAAGATGGCCCCAAGACACCCTCCGAAGCATTCGAAATCGTGGCCCGCTCGTTCAGGGAGACCGCGGTTGGAGTTCTGGGGCCTCCTGGGAAGCGTCCACGGGGCTCTTCGGATTTTCGAAGCGTCTCGAGAACGGCCCAAGTTCTTCCCCAAGCGGAAAAACGGGCCAGATGCACTCCAGGATGCGTGCAAGATAGCCAGGGCATCCAAGAGGCTCCAAAAGAGCAGAAATCATTACATAGCCATTTTGGCTCAAGCCTTTTCTGTTCGAGTCGTGTTGGATCCAGCCACTCATTACTAGTGCCGTGTGTTCGGCCCGTCGGCAGCCAATATTGCGAAGGCCTTACGGCCAGTGCCGCCGACCCTGAAGGAGACGACCCTGACCACGACGAGGTAGAGGAATGAGGAGGAGACGCAAAAGGAGGGGGCGGAAGACGACGCCGAGGATGTGGGGGAGGTGAAGAAAAGGAACGAGGAGGGGGAGCAGCAGGAGGGGGGTGGCGATGATGTGGAAGTGTATGGTTATGTGGAGGCCGAGGCTGAAGGGAGGGGGGGGCTGAGCACCAGCAGGGATTGCAAAGGGACGTGGAGCAGGAGAGAGATGACGGGGTTTGGGAGAGGATGGCACGGAATAACAGCAAGAGGGAGATATGGAGAAGGGATACGTACTTGGAGAGGGGGTGACTTGAGGGTGGTAGAGGTGGTTGCGGTTGGAGACGGAGAAAGGAAGGGCTTGTGGAAAAACTACAGAATCCCCACCAGGCAGCACTTGGCATCCCAACATCGCTTCGTCGCTGAAGCGCGTTGGCGGATTTCAGACAGGATTTGAAGATGCACAGCATCTGCAGTGGGTCCGAGGTCGACGAGTGATCGCAAACACTATGATCTCGATCCGATTATTGCCGCTCATGTGCCATTTCTGGCGTTTGGGCCGTTTGGGGCCCACTGTGGGCCTTCTGGGGGCCTTTGGGGGGCCTCTTGGGGTCCTCTTGGGGCAGCTTGGAAGCCTTTTGGAACTTCTTGGGGGGCTTTCGAGAGCCTCTTGGAGATTGTTTGGGGATCTCCTGGAGGGCTCCTGGGGACCTCTCGGGGCCGCGGGCTCGAAATATCCGTTCGGGTCCTCCGTCTGGACCCCCTTTCAAAGCCGTTCCGGGGCTTCTTGGGCTATATTGATGATTCGAGGGTCGTCTTGAAAGCCCTGTAGGGCGTTTTGAGGCCCTCCTGGGGGCGTCTTGGGCCGTGTTGGGGGCGCTCTTGGCGGCCTCTGGGGCTCCCGTGGATGTTGTGAAAGCTGAAACGGCGAAGATGGTGAAGAAATATGTTTTCCCATAGGAATGAAACGGTTTTGCTGTTTGGTGAATTTGTGGGACCTTTTGGGGGGCGGTTTTGGAGGCTTCGTGGGGTGTTTTGGAACCTTTCGGGCTGTCTGAAAGCCATATTCGGCGATTCGGAGCTCTCGTGGACCATAGTGAGAGCTTCTCGTGGCCCTCTTGGACGGTCTTTGTGTTTTGTTTGAAGTTCGGGGAACCCCGGGGGGGCGGCATTTTGACCCGGGAACCTTCCCCCAGCGGAGAAGGGATCAAGGGAAGGGGCCTCCTTTCGATTCGACTACGTACGGTGTTACTTAATTTCGATCTAGCTGACGCGCCTGAGGAGGAGAATCCAGGGAAAGAGGGGGAACGGCGACGGCGACGACGACGACGACGACGAAGGCGACGACGAACGGAAGAGCCCCTCCCACACGCCGAAAGGGTCGGCGGATTCTTGCAATATTACAGACTGCGGGTGCGCGCCCTCCTTGAATTGTTGTGTGCGTTTTTGTTTTATTGGCGCTGCCCGGGGATAATCGATGTGGCTTCTGTGCCGCTGAGGTTGGTTTTGAAATCGTTTTGCCGCACAGCTTACAGCCCATGATCTTGCATCGCCCATTCAAACTCAGGGCTGCACTGAGATGTGCCCGTAATGAGCCTTGCTACCGGAAGGTTGCACCATGCGGTGGCAGGCAGGTCTCGATACCGTTGTGCTCGTCTGTCAGCCCTTGGAAGGGGCCCCTAAGCGGACCCACGTTAATCGACGCTGTCGCAGCGTGCTGCACACAGATAGAAACAGGTCCTCTGGGGCGGCATTACACATACGCGTTGCGTGGGTCATTGACAGGGCTTTGGTATATCGGTTCCAGAACATGTCCCGACGTGGTTTCTTCACCAGAAGCGGACATACATTACATGGGCTCCCCGAGGAACATGCATTTCAAGCAAGAGCGAAAAGCCAAGCTTATATTGACAAGACACAAGACGCGCGGTGATGCTCTGGCGGCGGAGTGTTTCTTACATGACTTTTATAATGTTGGCAAGAATCCGGAGTTCGCCAATCGGGCAAAGCAGACTTCGGTTGGATTCAGTACTCAGGGGATCAAGCTCAGAGACAGCACGAAGCAAAAGATAAGTGAGGCTAAGCGTGGGGAACGAAACCCAATGTTCGGAAAACACCACTCGGAAGTGACAAGGCAGAAGATGAGCGAGGCTGGACGAGGAAAGGTCCTCAGTGAGGAGACAAAGCAGAAGATCAGAGAGGCTAGACGAGGAAAGGTCCTCAGTGAGGAGACGAAGCAAAAGCTAAGTCAGGCTAGGTTCGGAAAGCACCACTCGGAAAAGACAAGGCAGAAGATGAGCGAGGCTAGACGAGGAAAGGTCCTCAGTGAGGAGACGAAGCAAAAACTAAGTCAGGCTATGTTCGGAAAGCACCACTCGGAAGCGACAAAGCAGAAGATCAGAGAGGCTAGACGAGGAAAGGTCCTCAGTGAGGAGACGAGGCAAAAGATGAGTGAGGCTATGCGTGGGGAACGAAATCCTGTGTTCGGAAAGCTCCACTCGGAAGAGACAAGACAGAAGATCAGCGAGGCTGGACGAGGAAAGGTCCTCAGTGAGGAGACAAAGCAGAAGATCAGAGAGGCTGGACGAGGAAAGGTCCTCAGTGAGGAGACGAGGCAAAAGATGAGTGAGGCTATGCGTGGCGAACGAAATCCTATGTTTGGAAAGCTCCACTCGGAAGTGACAAGGCAGAAGATGAGCGAGACTGGACGAGGAAAGGTCCTCAGTGAGGAGACAAAGCAGAAGATCAGAGAGGCTAGACGAGGAAAGGTCCTCAGTGAGGAGACGAAGCAAAAGCTAAATCAGGCTATGTTCGGAAAGCACCACTCGGAAAAGACAAGGCAGAAGATGAGCGAGGCTAGACGAGGAAAGGTCCTCAGTGAGGAGACAAAGCAGAAGATCAGAGAGGCTCAACGAGGAAAGGTCCTCAGTGAGGAGACGAGGCAAAAGATAAGTGAGGCCATGCGTGGGGAACGAAATCCTATGTTCGGCAAGCACCACTCGGAAGAGACAAAGCAGAAGATAAGCGTGGGTATTCGAGGAAAGCCGCGAAGTGAGGAGACGAAGCAGAAGTTGAGCGAGGCTACTCGTGAGGACCGGCATCCCGTACTCGGAAGGCACCGCGTTGATAACACAATGCAGAAGATGAGCGAGGCTAGACGAGGAAAGGTCCTCAGTGAGGAGACGAAGCAGAAGTTGAGTGAGACCACTCGTGAGGACCTGCATCCCTTACTCGGAAGGCACCGCGCAATCGAGGAAAGCCGCGAAGTGTGGAGACGAAGCAGAAGTTGAGCGAGGCTACTCGTGAGGACCGGCATCCCTTACTCGGAAGGCACAGCGCTGATAACACAGTGCAGAAGATGAGCGAGGGTGATCGAGGAATGCCGCGAAGTGTGGAGACGAAGCAGAAGTTGAGTGAGACTACTCGTGAGGACCGGCATCCCTTACTCGGAGGGCACCACGCTGACAACACTATGCAGAAGATGAGCGAGGGTGATCGAGGAAAGCCCCGCAGTGATCAGACAAAGTACAAGCTCATTGGCCAGTGTGATCGTGTGGATCGAAGCCCCGATGCTCGTAAAGCCACGATACCAAAGATGGTTGAGGATTTGTGCATGGAGCAGCTGGCTGAGAAATGGAAGTGACATAGTATTGACGCGATGGGCGGGAACCGACGACGCAGCAGAGCAGCCAGGCCAAGCGCAGGGATGAGCGGCTCTCCTTTGGAAAACAGCAAATGGTGGATGAGTTGTTGCGAGCCGCTCCGAGAAGAGCCAGAGTTAGGAGACAGAGCAAAGTATAAACCCTGTTCATCTTTGGGGCGGAATCATTGTCCTCCTCCCCCCTCCTCCCAGTATGCTCTTGTTTGGTTCTAGAATATCAGAAAAACAAATAGCAGGCATCATTGATTTCTCACAAGGCGTTCACAGATTTGAGTGCCCCCCTGTTCCCTTACATTCGCCAGCCTGCTGCGGCCCTGGGAGCCTCCCAGGTCGAACCACGACGGCCCCAGGGAGGCTCAGAGAACTCCAATACAGCCGAAGAGGGCCGCAAGACAGACGGCCCAAGAGGCCCCCACTCTGAGGCTTGTGGGAGCTACCCCAGGAGCTCTCTGGCTTTGCGACGCGTCCCAGGAACATCCCAAGGGGTTTCTCAAAGCAAACAAAAAACACGACCGGCCAGATGCACTCCCGGGCGCGACGGATGAAGACGCGCCGCCAGTGCGGTCCGCAGAGCCCCACAAGCGCCTCCAGGAGGCCCGAGCAAATGAGGCGTTCCAAAAACGGCCTTGCCTTCGAGGATCGAAGGAGTTGTCATGTCTTCCTCGGCGGAAGGTCGGCGGAAGTAAAGCGAGGCCGCCTCCGCTGGCGGAAGCCGGCGCAAGCTCGGCGGAAGGCGGCGAAAGTAAAAGATGCGCCCCCAAGAGATCAAATCGTTTTGGGGTTCAGGGTTTCCGGGATCGCAATAATCATATGTTTGTTGATTCCCCCTCGGGTGTTTGACAGGTGTCAGTTTTCCCCTCTTTCCAAGCTTTCGGCGGGCAACTGTAGCCTCGGAAGCCTCCCAGATCGCCCCACCACGGTCCCGGAGAGTCCAGGGAGAACCCTCAAATGACCCGAGAGGGCTGCAAGAATGCCCCAAAGGCCCCCACTAGGGCTGAAGAAAGACAAGCCCTGGAGCGCCCCAGCGGGACTCTTAGAACATTCCACCTCGGCCCACGACGGTGCAAGACGATCCCGATAAAGCCTGAAGACGGCTCCGGAGGGCCCAAAGAGGGCCCTGGCAGCCCCCGAGACGACCCAAGACATGTCCGAGAGAGCGCCCGAACTGACCAAGGGAGGGATCCGAGGACGAGTCTTCATCGGATGATGGTAGGACGCAAGGGCTACAACATCTGCAGGACTCTTGCTGGCGTGTCGCGCAGGTGGTCGCGGAGTCGCGGTACTGATTTCCTTTGATCCTCCCGAAGGGGCTCGCAACATTCCAAACCATCCAGCAGCTTCGAGCCCAGATGCTCTGACCTCCGATGTCGTCGTGTTCCCGAAGCGTCGGTCCCGGACATCTCTACCCGCGTCGCTTTTGGACAGTCCAGGCGGTCGGCTGGGAGCCGCCACCCGCACTTCTTCGATAGCCGCCCCCTTGCCCTGGTGCAGTGCAGTCGTGGCGCACTTGATGCATTGTTCCACCACTGCTAGCGCACCGTCTGGTGCAAGGCTTCTGACCTGACCTGGCCCCTTGCCCCGCTCCCCCACCCCGCCTCCGCTCAAAAGAGCTCCCCAAACTCTCCCCGGGATCCATGCTGACCATATGCTCCAGCTGCGTCCAGCCGTATCCACGAGCCGGGCGAGGCCCCAACAGGGTGGTCCGCACCCTAGCAGGGGTCAGGACGGGCCAGACCCCAACGCATAAGCATTGTAGAAGCTCATACCTCAAAGTAACTTCTGATAAGCTTCCCACCGGCCCTTGGGAACTTCATTAGCGTTTCCGAAGGCCTTCGGATTCCTCGGATCCTGTGGTTTCCTTCGGACTCATTGGGTTTCATATGGTTTCGGGTTCCTTGGATGTCCGTTCGTTTCCTTCGGAGCCCTAGTTTTCTTTTTTGGTGTCCTTCGAATTCCATTTAGTTTCTAGCGGATTCCAGTGGTTTTCCAGGTTGTTTTGAGGACTACCTTGAGTTCCTTCAAATTCCTAGGGTGTCCGTCGGATCCCTCCGGTTCTCGGTGGATTCTTGTTGGATTCCTTTGGGATCCTTTCTGGAATCTTCGAACCCCACCAGATTCTTCAGGAATCCAGAAGATCCCCAAGGACTCCCTGGGATTCTTGTGGATGCCTTTGGATTCCCCCGGGATCCATAGGTTTCGTGCGCGTTCCTCAGGATCCCTCCAGGTTCTGCAGGGTGTCCAGAGGATCCCTTTGGGTGCCTAAGGATTGCTCAGGGTTCCTTTGGATTCTCTAGGATTCGATCTGGATCCACAGGATTCCTCAGGATGCCTGAGGATTCCTCCGGATGATATTGGTTTCCTCTGGATGTCTTTGGTTTCTTTTTCCTCTGGACTCTTGGGAGACTGTTCGGGCTTGACACGGATCGCAGTGGCTGGGAACCGCCACCACGACGATTACACCACACCACAGCCATACAGCCGCCCCTGGCAATCGACCCCGCGTCGGAGGATGAACGCAACCACCCCGAGAGCAGCATTCACTCCACTTGTTCACCAGGTACCGCTAGAACTTCAGAGCGCGCGAAGCGCACGCGATGGCTCGGAATATTCTTTGATCTTATACAGATGATAGCCAGCGTGGACCGAGAACAGTGATTTCTCGGTGGTGCAACCAATGTGGTGCAACGTAGGTGGTGCAATCCATGTGGTGCAACCTATGTGGTGCAAGACACTGCAAAGCCATGCAAAGCAACGCAAAACAACACAAAGCAACGCAATGCAACGCAACGCAAAGCAACGCAACCTCATACAATGCAATGCAAAGCAGCTTAAAGCAATGCGATGCGATGCGTTGCATTTGCAATGCGATGCGATGGCACAACGATGCACAGCAATGCAACGCAACGCGATTGCAATGCAACACGATGTGGTTGCAATGCAACGCGGGGGGGTGCAACCCGGAGGCGACGATGGGCGAGAACGGGGCCGCCGGGGCGGCAAACGGGTCCAGCTCCTTAGAAGGCAAGTAAGACCCCCCTTCGGTATAAGTAACCTCCGCACCCCAGAGATTTGCAGACCCCCCACCCCTCCACGCCAACACCCCCCTTCCAGAGTTCAAAAGGCGGCCGGCCCCAGACAGCCCCCCAAATGCCTCAGGATTGCTTGAGGTCCTCCCCCCGACGGGCCCCAGATCGCCCAAGAACAAACTTCTCAGCCGCCCTGAAGGCTTCCGACGCGCTCGGCGGCAGCCCCACGACGCCTCCAGATTGCTCCAGAAGCTCCTCGGACGCCTCGAGAAGGCACCCAGAGGATTCCCACGAGGGCGCCAGAAGGCAAGCATCGTTGATCTTGTTTGGGTACTATATGAATTGTTGTGTTCTCGTCTTTCGATCTCCCAGCCGCGTAAGACGGCCCAAGATGCCCCCAAGCTCGCCCCAAGACGGTCGGGGATGCCCCAAAGTGGGTCCTTAGACGGCCCAAAATTACCCTCAGACGACCGAAGAAGCCCTCCAAAAGGACCCACGACGCACCCAAGAGCGCCCCAAGAGAAACCCCCAAGTAGCCGCGACAACGAATTGGCCCCCAGAGGCCCACCAGACGCGCCCAGAAGCCCCCGAGAAGCCTTCCGAGAGACCCCAAGAAGCCACCAAGAGGCTTCGAATCAGATCGGGACCCCCACCCCATGAGGTCCAGGGGGGGGGGGGACATCACGCCATCACTCCCAAGACGGCCTCGGACAGCCCCCGGCCCCTCCAGAGCCGCCCGGATTGCCCCGGACCGCCTCCTCAGTGGCCCACGAAAGCCCAAGATGGCCCCAAGAGGGCACCAAAACGGCCCCACGAGATCCCCACTACGACCATGGCGAACAAAGACGGCCACGGGTGGCTTCGAGATCGTTCCAAAGTTCCCCAACACGGCACAAGGGGGCCCCGACAGGACCCCGAAAACGCACGCACCCAGAAAGCAGACATCATTGAAAAACAAGTTGGTGTTGAAAGTATTTGGTAAGATTGCATGTTCAGAACTCGCAGCCTTCGAGGTCCCAGGATCGCCCCAAGTCGTGTGTTGTTCTCCTCTGCTTTCCCGGCATACCCCGCACCCATTTTCTCCGACCGTTCCCGCTCCCGAATCCCCTTGGGCACCAGAAAACCCCATGGGCGAAGCGTGGGCCAAGATTCAGGCGAAGCGGAGCGAGCCTTCAACATCTTGTGTATGTATGCGTATCGAAGACGCCTACGGCGAATCACCGCCGACCCCTGCCTTTTTGGAAGCGCCTGCGTGGCCGAAAGTCGGGTTTGAGCTTGGCCAAGCTATCGGGCCACGCGTTCCCCGAGTGGGTTTCGAAAACCTTCGGGGAACACCGAGTCGGGCGAGCTATCGGACCAGGTGGTTTCCGAGCTTTCGGGCCTCCTGGAGGACGTCTTGGAGGGGTCTTGGGCCGTCTTGGAGACCTCTGGCGGGCCTTTTGGGCAGTCGAAGGCCATCTTCAGGCCATCTTGGGCCGTCTTGGGTGCATCTTGGGGCCATCTTCGCCGTCTTGGAGGCCTTCTTGGCCGTCTTGGAGGCGTCTTGGAGGCCATCTTGGCAGTCTTGGAGGCCAGCTGGGGCTTCTTGGGAGCCTCTTGGGCCGTCTTGGGGCCTTCGTGGGGCCGTCTTGGGGGCCTGGTGGGCCGTTCTGGGGCCGTCTTGGAGGCTTCTTGGGCACTCTTGGGGCGATCTTGATGGCCTCTTGGGCAGTCTTGGGCCGTCGGGATCCTTCAAAACCTATGAAAAATCAATGATGTTGACCTCTTCGGGCCGTCCTTGAGGAGCTTGGAGGACGTCTTCGAGGCCTCTTGGGCCGTCTTGGAGGCCTCTTAGAGGCCTCTCGGTCCATCTTGGGCTGTCTTGGAGGCATCTTGGAGCCATCTGAGCCGTCTTGGAGGCCATCTTGGCCGTCTTGGACGCATCTTTGAGGCATCTTCGAGGCCATCTTGGCCGTCTTGGACGCGACAGGGGGAACCACCCGCGCATTTTCGGCAACCTTTCGGGCGGCCGGCCGGACGGGCCGAAGGCCTAGGGGGAGTTCTGTTGGAAAGAGAACCAAAACCAAAACCGAAAGGGTCTAGCACGCCGGGCACCCCTGTGGCAAGCCAACAGGGGGCGGCGGATATAGATAGGCCTTCGGCCTATCCCGCCACCGCGTCTTGGTT